TCTGTCATATGAATCATATTTACTGTAGATTCACGTTGTAATATCACATAATATTTTAATTAATGTATCAAATTTCAAATTGAACCTGCAATACGTATTTATTTACATGTTTAGGTTAAAAAAATCCTGATTTGTTTTTGATGTCCTTTAAGTCTTTAACGTTTAAAAACGTCCAGCGACTATTGTGCTATTGATGCAAGTAAATTACATGTCTCCATAGCATTTGCGACCAAGATTTATGAATGAGAAATTTAAAAAAAAAGTTATATTTGTTCTTAATTATTCAATTTGTCTTGTGTTCTCATTCCTTTACAATTCCTAACTTGTGGGGTTTTAATAATAGCCGATCCATTTTTGCCTCACAAGTGTCTGTTTTGCCGAGATCATGTCGCCCCCGCTAACTCCCTGAGGTTGCCCTTTGGGGCGAAGGGCCGTGCGTGCTACCCAGATGCCAATCGCATGAGTAGGCGGTGCCCGGAGCGAGGCCGGAAAATCTGTGAAGACTCCGCTCGCACTGGTTGGCCTTGGAAGACACGCCCGCGGCCAGCCGAAACCGACGCGGTGTTTTGTTCGTTCGAGAAATGCCTCTCCCTGCGAGGAAGATCCTACGCGCAAGGGAGCTAAGTGCCTTTCACTCTCTTCCTTTCGAAGAAATAAAACGCTTTCTATCCAGAATATACTTTTCTTTCAGTTTTTATTCTGGCTTTTATGGAACCAATTTGTTTACGTTGTTTTAATCATTTCATTACATTCTTTTGATATTGATGATTTAAAGGCGGTTATACTCATGTCACCTAAAATTCTTGTTTTTCTTTCATTTCTTCATATCTTTGTTATTATTCACCAGAAAGCTTTCTCAACGTATCCGTGGGCGTCAGCAGTCTTTAGTCAATGAACTTCAAGGAACTAACTCAGTGGTCCCGTTGGTAGAACAGTTTCAGGAAAATCCCAGAATGAGGATGTAATTAGAATGTGTTATTCTAAGACTCGTGCGTAAGAGTGCATGATTTTGTTAGATACCCATGAGTTCGAAAAAGCGCTGCATTACTAATTTACAATATACGGATAAATTGACGGGAAACTACGCGGCCTTTCGTAGTGAGAGTTGCCTCCTTAGATCCTAGGAGCTGGTGAAAAATACAAAAACAATAAAACAGTTGCGATTTTGACGCAGTAAGGTAAATACGTGATTATGTGTGTCTTCTACTACGCGCACCGACTGAATTGTCACTCTCAGGGCGTCACTGCTTTCGACACAGCTGACGGCATGCGACAGGGAGACTTCAAGGAAGATATCGCACGCCATTTTCATGTGTTGCTTAATCGAACTATGTTTTTGCCGTCAGTATTCATGAAGATTATTTTTGTTAAAATATCTAATTTATTGTAGCGTGATAGGAGTGTATTTTGTTTTTGTTTTTAAACAGTGTGCATCCTACTTTTTGGAAAATCATTTAATGTGGTTTTGTTCAGCACAATTTTTCCTAATGGTGGCCGCTAATGAAGAGCTAAATTTGGAGTCTGGGTAATATTAATAATTGATTACGAAAGTCTCATGTTAAAGTGATGGTCCAAACAATAGTAAACATTTTTAACAATTCGCTGACTCTTGCATCTCGTCAACACGTTTTTAACAGTAGGGTGGGCATTTACACACATTAGCTAGTAAACAAATTAAAATAAAATAGCTGAGGTAAGAAATAATTTGTTAATTGTACAGTAATTAAATTACAGAATAACTTCAATTATCCGAAACCCAGTTATACAAATATCCAATTACCAACATTTATTCGGGAGTAAAATAAATGAAAACCGAAAGATGTCCAGTTGGGGGAAATTTTTAAGTGAAGAATATAATAGAAATGTATGAATAAGTGTTATTGTTCTGATAAAATAATAATAGGCAACAACAACTAGTTATTTTACATATAAATATTGTACTGCAGTATACACTAGACTTTGCTGTATCTTATGTTTAATTTGATTTCATGAAATAAAGTTTTTTGTCTGGTGACCTATTTAAACATACGTGTGTTTACTCGAGTACCAAGTAAAGAAAACGTTTAGTAACGCTGCAGCTGAAAGACAGTTCTTTGACAGAAAGACACGTATTGTGCAACCGTGATACCGGAAACGTAGGTAATTCTTGCTCATACGTATAGTAAATAGAATACACGTTTTGTAGGTCTTTGAAATATAAAATTTGATATAAGGCAAATTGTTCGTCCGTCTGTGAATAACGCTAGCAGCTAAACAGACGGTAGGGTTTTTGCCAAAATTGATTTTTCTTGTTCTATTCGACTTTGATTTCGCACTCCCTTCATTTTGAAACGGATATTTTGATTTTGGTGTCTACTTTTTACGACGCTTCAACCACATTTTCGAGTTTTTATAAAAAAAGTACTCTAACTTTTTGGATTATATTATTTTTTGAGTAGAGCAATGTAGGCTTAGAAAAACGGAGCAGGTCTGATTTTTGGTGAATTCTCTTAATTTTCGGAAATTGACAAAGTATTTTATTCGCTTTTCCTAAAAGTACAATATTGAAGTTGGATATGTTTTTCTTAATGAAATCTGTTCTTAAAAATATATCTTTAAATAAGATTATGTAATTTTTTAACAGCAGTAGTTTTCGCCTAATTTTGAGTGAATTAGCGGCAATTTTTTAAATTACATAAACAAGATTTGATTTCAAATTTTCATTAAAACCTCTGAATTTTCGTTAATTTCAATTACTATTCTTTTTAAAACATGAAGGTTGTTTTGTCAACTTAGACGAATAGAGTAATGTGCTAAATGTTTGTCTTATCTAAGTACTTACGCTCGAATTCTTGCGGGACCAAATCACTTTTGCGTGTTCAAGTGGTGTTATACTCGTAATAATATGTGAGATTTACAAATAATACTAGGAATCACGTGGTGTTGTAGCATAACTAGTTTACTCATGTAAAGTTTTAGTATGTTGGTTTATGAATATTAGTTACAGGAGTTAGTTACGTATGTAATATTTTATCTTTATTCACTCACATAATATGAATTTCCAAATATTCTAATCAATTTATTTACTTATTTATTTCCTTACATAAATGAGTAATACCGTAAGTGTATGTAAATGTTTCTCATCGCGGGAGGTGGCGGTAAACGTCCGCCATTCGAGGGCGAGATCCTTCGCCAGCCTACACATCGGATTGCGAGTTTTTTCCAACCACACATTTCGCTAGCGGGGCACCGCCACAGCCGGGACAAGCTCTAAGCTCCGGAGCGGGCTCTGGGTATGTGTGGTAGTGTTCTGCACGTAAGTGTAGGTGTGTAAGTAAGGGGCGAGGAAGGAACCGATGCACACGATGCATGGCCTCTTTGGTAGGCTACTGCTCGGATATTCTCCAGATTTTAATCAGAGAAAACTACCGATCAAAGCAGCCGGCCGATAAAATTCTCCTTCAAACAGTGGCTGAATTGAACCCAGATATCTCCGCACGACAGAAATCCTGCCACCGCCGCTACTCGAAGATCTCCCGGTGAGGCGCGCTGCAGTGATGTCAATTGATTCCCTGAGCCGTTTTCTCTAACCGAGACGGCCGCATGTTCATTCGGGGTCTGCAGTGCTGCAGCGCGATCAGTCAGCCCCGAACGCGCACCCGCGCGCGGCCGCCAGAGAGTGTACCGCGCGGGCTGTTTCACTCTTACCCTCGCACCGCAGCGCGGCCCGTTACCCCAGCGGCGGCGGCGGCGCCGATGCCGCACGTTCCTCGTTCTTCGCGCGATGCCCCGTTGTTTTGCCGGCAGCTGGAGGGTCAGAGGCCCGTGATCGGCTCCGCTGCTCATGACGTCAGGTGTACGACGCTTGATAAGCCATTGCGTCGCTATTGACGAACGTAGACCTTTTTCCTTCTGAAAGATGAACATGAGGATTTCGAGTATACTTCTCAGAGACATAACATTACGTTTGTTTCAGTGTTCGTGTAATAAGAAGAGGGATTTATTATATTCATGTCGAGTTAGTGAGGTTTTAGCGACTTGATTTGTTGCAGTTTGCTTACGAATATTCAATAGTAAGGATCATTATCATTCAGTTAATTTTTTATAATTTTGGTAATATTGTTTATCAATATGTTTTTTACACTACTACATTCCAACGTGGAACCACAATCGCAAGTGAATTGTAAAAACATAAAATAAACTCATATCGGTTTTTAGTGTCCGAGAGCTCTGTTAATGCAACGTGGTGCGTTCACAACGTGTTTGAGTTTATTAGGTACATTTTGAATACTTTACTGCACACTTTCTTCACTTTATAAAAACGTATCCCTAAACGAATAATTTCATACATTCGAGTAGACGTCTAGAGAAGGCGTTTTGTATTGCATACTTTAACTACTTATTCAAGTTATGTATTTATTCTGAAAAATATGCATAAGATTGCATAAGGTGATTCATTCTTGCCCAAATTAATTCTTATATAACTACGCGCTTCAGAGAAGATTTCTAGATTTCTCACAATGTGAGTCCTCGCAGATTTCATCTTTAATTTAGGTGCTAAGCAGTTTTTTATTTAGAAAAAAGTAGTTTCCCAGTGGCAAACAATGAAGTAAGCACGGAAAAAACTAGATTCGTAGACTCCTTTGGATCAATTTTGACGATTAGTGTGACAAGTGGCTTTCACTTGTGTGACAACTTTAAATAGTGCTTGTAGTATCTGTAATGAGACTCGCTTAATGCACTAGAGTAATTATTTTTTCCACAAGCTTTAAGAAAACTCGAAACTTATAATGAAGTTTGGCATGACATCAGTAATCTAATTACTCTCTAACATATTTGTATTTAAAACAAAAGGTTTTGGTTCAGAAAGAAGCTTCATATTTCTCCTTGGCCTTATTTCTTGATTAAAAAATAGTAGTTAGGGGCCCTAGATGTGTTATTACTTGCCCTTATTAACCGGTTTAATGACATAAACACTAATTTTAATATCTTAATATTATGAAAATGAATTCTTATTAGCCGTCATTTGTTCATTACTTCGTCGTTTTCAAGACCAACTCAACTATGTGTGGTTAGCTTTGGTTGTTTTGGAGCACGAGTTACAGTTGATCTATCCAAAACGTGTTGTTGATCAGCGAGAGCAGCTATGCGAGTGTGAAGTAATAGTAAAGTAAAGATAGCGAGTCCTTTTCATGTTCGAATATTGAGTTTTTAAATACAAATATTAGTGAGTGCATATGAACACAATGTCCAGTAATCGTCTGACATATGTGTCCCTTAACAAAACAAAAATCAGTGATTAAATTTTTAAGTGATACTAACGTGTTTAAGTTACGGATAGTAGGATTTCCAGTTGTAGACTACTACAACATACACGCACAGGTCTTGGGAAATAAAAAACAATTCAGTTACGTTTTCCGAAAAATCTTCAACTATATGTTCACAGTGAGTAGTGATTGAATTGTTCCAGAAACTGCTCATTTCATTTGTCTTCGAGAATATATAATGAACCGCATGAAACAATATTTTTGGGGGGTTTTGAATTTTTGGATACTGCATAAGTAGTACTTTTTAGTTGTAGCGTTTCTTCTGATCTTCCTTGTGTGTTACATAATCTCAATAATTATTTGTTTTTAACGAGTGTATTACCACCTTTCACTCTCATTTACTTTTTGTTATCACAATCTGTATAAATACATAAATAAAAATGTTGGGCAACAATAATGATACTTTTGGGTCACATGAATATTATTTCGTCTTAACGTTTTCATCAAACTTTATCTCTTTTTATACATTACATAGTAGTACGTATTTTATCCCTTTGTGGCTATGTTGCAGACTCTGTGCTATTATGTCACATTCGCATCAAAGGAAGTAGAAGGGAAAGCTTATAATTTAAATATTTGAACGATAAAAGTGCATCATTAAATTATTGCAGGAATGGTTTAAAAATATAAGACTCATATATCCGGGATATTGCGTTTCATTTAGCACACTAGCTCCGAGTTATGGTACAGCCTCAGCGTCAAAGTGGTTCCAACAATTACAGACTGGCCCGTGAGAAGAGCGTGCAGAAATGCGAGTTGGCAGTGGCCGCAACTTCGTCAGTAGTTTAGATGAAAAGTAGGGCAGTTACGAGAGTTCAACATCACATATTCCTAGTTGCGTTACTTGTTTATATTTTGTGGTTATATTAACACTGATAAAATTTTCAGCCTAGACGATGAGAACAATTTGATAATATTAATTACGAGTTTGAAAAATCGGAATATAAATAGATTATTTCCCTCTATTTAACTGGTAAAATGAATTTACTTCACATACTGTTGTACTATTACTAATGTATACATACTATTGTATACTTTAACATATGATTAACACCTTAATGTAACGAAAAATGATCTAATAGATAACCACATAATTCAATTACTCATTGAATACTCTTTACTATGAAGAACAATTAACATTAAATTTACCACACATAACTAATTCATCTAAATCGTAATTCAAAGTTTACATTGTAGTGCAATATATAACAGCGAAATATACGTTGAAAGAATATACTTGTACTAAGATAATTTACTTTGTCAGAAACAAAACGTCTAAACTAAGTGTTTTCTTCTGTTTACAGATTCATCGGAACACGCTGTCGCGGGTCTTTGGTAAATATTGTATTTATTTATCCTCTTATATCCAAACAAATTTACAAATTATGCTATCGGTTCCGCGATTGAAGTCAAAAGTTACAAATTTTCCCAGGCTGATTGCAAATTTTTGTGATTCTTTCTGAGAATCAAAACTTTCATTATTTAATTAAGGGATTTGGTTATTCTGTTTAATATTTGTGCCAAAATGCTCCGAAGCATTCATTTGCGAGAGCACCGCTCGTTATGCGGGTTGGCTGAGTTTAGCTCCGAGCTGGGAGGTCTTTTGTTCGAGTCTCGGCGGCGGCGGCGGATTTTTGAGATGCTGTATAGCCAGGTCGAATTGAACCGCTGCGACGTCTTCGCGTCGCTTGACCAGGCGACACATCGTCTGGAGGAGAAGCCTAGCGTCCGGCTGCCCTGAACGGTTGATTCCTGTGGTTGCTTTGATGAAAACCAACCTAATTCTGAAGCAGCGCCCTATCAAACGGAGCACGCGCGATCTTTCCTTCCTCTTCCTTGTCCTACCCTCTCCTCTTAACCCACTTACCTAAACTTGCGTGCTCTACACTACCACATTTGTGAGACCAATTGAGAGCTTAGAGCATGTTCGGGGAGGGGGCGGTGCTCTGATGGGGGAGATACCTGGATGGGATATTCCTATGAATCCGACGTGAAGGTCGACGCCTAATCTCACCATCCAACGCGGAATAAAACGTTCACTACGGTGATGAGGCCAGTGGCCGAAGCAGTTGATCTCTCTATCAATCGTTACGCGGCCCATTGCGTTCGCCGCTAGCGGCGGCGGCGGCGGCGGCCGGGTTCTGCGCGGTGCCTCTTGGCGCCGCTTCATCAGCGGTTTGTGCTACGGTGCCTGGGAGCGCCTCCGCCCCCGTTCCCGCACGGGCCCCGCCCCCTCCGCCCCCCCGCCCCCCGCGCCCGCCTCCGCTACCCTTGCCATCGCCTCTGGGACGCCAGCCACCGCCACGCGCTTCAGCCGCTTCCTCACCACTTCGTCCTCCTCAAACTCACCCCGCTTCCTCGCCGCACCGACCGCCTCCGTCATCTCCCCCAGCACCTCACGACCTCTGTCGCCTCCTGCGAGGCCGACGTCCACGCCTGCGTTTCTACCTTCGCCGCTGCGGCCACTACTGCCCTCGCTGCTGTTTTAGTTGTCTGCTCAAAGCCTGTTCACTTGCCTTACTATCTTCTTAGAATGTACGGTTAACACCGAGGCTAAAACAAGAAGTCGTCTGCATTGTTTCCCGGCAAGGTTTTCCTACAATCGCCACTTCTTTTGTCTACATCAAAGTGGGGTTCAACTCTCCTGCTACCAACACATTTGCTATTATCACAGATCGTAACTCGTGAACCGCTGCCATCAATAACACAGGCACACAAAAATAAAGAAGTTGTCAGACTCAAAGACTTGTCACACTTTTCCCTTTGTATTTCGACGCGCTGAATCCGAATCTGAAGCCAAACTGTGTCATCACCCTTTTGTTAAATCACAAAACAGCATCGTGACGGTATGCTTATGAAATGCAGCAGACGTATATGCTTGTGAAGTGGATAATTGCAACTGGGTTATTATTTTTTCCTTCTGCGATGCTAGTGAAATATTTTATGAATATTATGTATTTGATTTTTCCATTGGGTAAAAAGAACATGGGAGCGCTAAAGTGCTCATGAATAAACAATTGACTCTCACATAACAGCCTATTACACTCGTGTAATATCTGTTTTATCGTATCTTACGGACTTTTTAAGATGACGTACTTTTAGCCGTATGTCTCCATGATCAGTGGCAGCATTGACTTCGACTGTAGCAATCGGCGATTCTGATTCGCGGCGTTTAAAGCGGGGAGCGCCCGAAGCGCAATGGAGACGGTTGAAGAAATCCCCAAAAATATTAGAATAGATGTCACTAAGGGGGCGAAGTAAGAAAAGAATAATGAGATAGTAGAGGAAACTAAGAATAAAGAAGAAAAGAAAAAAGAAAAGAATAAAGTAATTCAATATTCATATTTCTGTTCTGTGAATAAAGCAATAGTTTGTATTCATCGTATTGTTTTTCAAACTGTTTTAAGTCAACCATTATTCACATGGGGTACAGTACATAATAAGCCTTTTTACCGGCTGCGAACACATAAATGAACAGCATGTACAGGCGATTGGCTATGAAAGGTAACTCTAACAGAACGCTTTGATACGATACTCGAAATGAGGCATTACTCTCTGCGAAGTCTTACAACTTTGATGAAACTGATGTCCTTCCAAAGGTTACAGTAGTCAGAAGAAAGATTTAAAACTGACGAATCCCTGCGATTATTACCGTCGCTCTAATTTGAGCTAAGTGTCTCGCCCGCGAGCAACGTCATCTCTTCACACCACCGCCAAATACTCTGCTTCCGTCACAGCTGTTACTCCTCTACCCCTCTGACCTGCCGTTGCCTTTGTTACTACCCTCATTGCCACGCTTCTATACCATGGCCTCCGTTACTTCTCATCCATTTCGGTTATTTCCGCTGTTGTCACAACCAGCAGCCAACACCGCTCGTCAACAGAGCCCCTTCGTCTTGGAGCAGTCAACACTCATCAGGAAATGTTTCCAGGTGTCCCTATCAGATTTTGCTGAGTTTTCGATAAGTTGTAAGGGACGAAGAAATAAACCGCTTTGTTTTATTCCTTTATGTGGACACACGTTTTGAATGAGTGAAATCATCTTACAAAAGTTGGGGCGTAAACAGGTGATTACGGTCAATACGGTTTCGTATTGAACTCTGAGAACTTTTTGACCAAACGCAATTCCAAAACGGATTGGAGAGACGCGTTACATATGTACTTCAGAGCATTTTTATTCGTTATTAAGAAGGAAAATGTACCCCAAATATAAAATCAGAGTTGAAAACTCTACGAAAAGTATCGAAATATAAGGCGGAAATCTGAAAACAAGTTAGTCTTCTCTTTAAAACAAAACTGACGTGATTTCTCATTTAGTCGAAGAGGGAGATTTTGGCGGGTAACCCGACCTCCGCGTCTGCTGCCCACGTCGTCCGTTGAAGGCGATGCTGTGTGTCTGGGTTGCGTCGCGCCCGAGCTTTCGCACGCGCCGCACGGGAGCGTGCCTGCGGCACAGTTACTTCCCACGCAATTGTGCAGTAGCTCACCGTGTTACGAGGCACACAGTGGGGTGCGACCCGTTCACAAACATTTATTAATGTACCGTTCGGGATCTCGGTTAAGAAAATTATTCCATTTCCTTCAAAGCCTTCAATTAAAAGCCTCGAGAGTTAAATTATTTCACAATAAATAGAAACTAACTATATTATCACGCACAGAAATCGTACGATTGGGAAAATATTTAACAAAATTTAAAATGGTTGATTCCGTTTTAATTAGTGAAAGCTGTTAAGCTCTTGACTTTGTTTCAAAAGTTCGAATTGAAAACTTCATTAAAATTCTTGGTTCAGAATGCCTGCAAAATTTGATAGTTACACATAATTCTTTTAAATGAAAGAAAAAGAAAATGAACACATTGAATTAAAGATATCGCGTCATTACGTAAACATATTTTATTTTAGAAATACAAAAAGTAACTTCTCGAAGGGTAAAAATAGTAATACCAATAACTTACCCTATTTTCATGACAAAAAAGTAAATAAATTCCAAAAATGTTTATGACACTTTCTTCAAGCACTGGCAAATATGGTTCGAAGGGACACTGAAATATCTTTCAGAAGATAGTATAAGACATAATAACGGAGAAGGATTGTTCTTTTTGATTGGTTCTTGAATTGTTCTTGAAGATTGTTAATCTATAATGTTTTTGGATGTTTTAGGATTGTTGATGTTGATTGTGATTTAGATTAGATTTTCCCTTTTCTTTTCGGTTGAGGCTACCTTTCATTTTTGCTCGACCCTTCCCGGCTGCCTTCTATCGGTTCCTTAGGGACTTGCCAGTGTCTCCCACGTTTGCTGCTCCTTCGCTGGGATCTCATCCCAGTCTACTTGTTCTCCCCGAAAGTCACGTGAGGTAGTCTTAGGTCCATATCCATCCTGACACTCTACTGTTATGCCCGAAATAGTCTGTGGGCCTATGTTAGTGCTTGTGCCATTATGGAAGGTGTTTGGAGAACAAATTCCACATTCATGCACACTATTAGATTAGACACACGGTTGAGGATTAGGGAAGGATTGTGGATGATGTGGTGCTAAGGTACGGGGAATACACTCCATGCAACAACATAACTGGGATATCTGGGAAATCGGCCGACCCTGGTGTAACGGGCAACTACCACATACGCTTTGTCCTTCGCCACTCGTCAATGAGACGATACGATAGCAAAGGCGTTGCTTGGGAATGAAGCGTGGGAAAGCCAATCATGTCGCAACACTAGGGTGAAAGTGTCCATGCCTACGCGGGGCTCGAACTCGAGATCCAGTGCTCCGAACTTCAACTTTCCTGCCTTAGCGACAGCAACTCTTTTGATCGGCTGCTGGAAGTTTTTTGGGAAAGTAACTCGTTACTCAAACATGAATATAGAAGTTTTTTCACATTCATTTCTTTCTTTCAAACACTCACATAATACACAATGTCTCGTAACTCGTGATCTAAAAATGTGCTGACATCAAGTTCTTTTATTCGCACTAGAACTCGCCGAACGTAAACAAAGTCGCCGGCGCGAGCCGTCGCGTCGCGCCACCTGCCTGCTGCGCGCGGCGTTTCGCTTCTCTTTTTTTTTAAATTTATTTATTTGATTGTTTAGTACATAGTTCAGTTTTTAATAACTCTACATATGTATTGATGACTTATAATTTAACTTATCCTAACTTAATACTATTACAGAGGTTGAGGAAACCCTAAGGACACCTCATGAGAACTATTCCAGATCTGAGAACAATTTACAAAATATGTGGAATGGGTATTTATTTTTTATGCGAGTGGGATGGATGGGGTTTTTGCAAAGATTGAATGAAGATAAGGTTTGGTTATGGTGTGTATTTGAGAAGAAATT